TAGCTATTAAAGCGCAAACTCAACTAAAGTGCAGTAAATTAGAGTGTAATAATCGACTAAAATATGCAATTATAGTCTATCATCATTAAACCCTTTTGGCTTAGAGGAATTTATTTTCTGTCATTAATGTAACAGTCATTTCACACACATTTGTTGCTTCAAATTTTTCCAACGCTGTCATCTTCTTATTGGAAACTTCACAGGCATAGATTTTGGACATTGATTGGGTACCTTTTATATAATACATTTTATCAAAAGCTGAGGCATTTGTTTTTGGCTAATCGGATGGTTTGAAAATATTTTTCATTTTAATGTCTTTGGAGTTGAGAGATCATTATTTTTCATGGAATTAACTAAAAAATTACCTCCAAGTAAGGGTAATTTATTTACTAAAAAAGTGTACTTTTTTCTCCAATTAAAGAATTTATAAAATGATCACTACAAACTAAAAGGAGCTAAACAAAATGATCAATTAAGACGGTGTTATGGCCCCGAAAAAGGACACTTATTGTATTCTGCAGAAGACTTGACTTAGCAAGAAATTGAAGTCCGCCAATTATATTCTTTTGTATAGTTTTTAAAAGGATAAAATACTTTAAAATCAACAAGTCTTCGAATTTTACCGTCAACATCTTTCTAGACAATGTATTCTTCAACTACAGTTCTAAATGCTATATACATGTATGCCTGGCCTAATAACAATCTACAAGCAAACACCTATTTAATACATACTTTTCAAAAAGCAAGACTTTTTAACCAACACAAAGACAAAGACTTCATAATAGTTTTAACCATTCATTGAATAATTGAGGCAAGTTAAAAGAGACAGAGTGGGGGATTGAAAATAAAGAGCCTAAAATGATCAATTTCTGTAGGGTATGTGTGAAGTTCGAGTCTTGGAATGAAATCCTCTTTGCTAAGTAGTGCTAAAACGTTACTATGAGACTTTTTATAGCGTGAATCCAAATTAGTTGAGTATGTGAATTTTGAACATGGGATAAATCTAGATTAGTCCGGCCCGTTCACTTTTGAACTCATAACTTTCGACGCGAGTAAAAATTAATGTGTAAAAGTTCATTAAAATTGTAAAAATAATAGATATGAGCTTTCTATGTGGAGTAAAATTTTATATATAAAAATTCATTAAAATTGCAAAAATAATAGATATGAACCCATAACTTTAAAAATATAATTGGTTCAATGTTAAATTTTTTAAAGTTTAAACCATTGATTTAAATTCTGGATTCACCTCTACTTGCAACAATCCATTGACTTGTACCTATCTCAACGTATTTCAGAAGACAGGAAAATCAAACAACTTTTTTTCGCTTTGGAGATTGATAATGTATAAAGAAGTAATGCGGTTTTTAGAGTTTAAAGTTATTTATTTCATCTGGTAATTTTTTTGTTATATCCCATGTCATCTAAAGAATATTTATAGGTGAATCTCTTTAAAATATGAGATTTATAATTATGATAAATTTTCGTGTACAATAGGTAAAGGATGATATAGATATTCTTTATACCATCCGTGCATAATACACATCTCTGCTAATACGAAAAATAAGAGCTGGGTTAAGTGTCCAAACAGTATATGGTTGAAGCTTGAAAAAAAAAGTATTTTGAAATTGTATTGAAAAATAATTTTGGAAAGTGAGGTTACCTTTGGACATGCATCTCTTTTTTTTTTTTTTTTTTTTTTTTTTTTTTAAAGGTTGAAGTTTTGTGAGTAAAAGAAAAAATTTCACTCAGAAACTAGCCCAGCCCAATTTTTAGAACTTGATCAAATTCCATGAACAAATAATATTTCTAATATTTTTTGGGAAAAAGTAGTTAATTAATGTCTGAACGGGAGCTTAGTTAGAAGCCAACCCTTACGAAAAATCTTGGGAGTTAGATATTTGTGTAAATTTTGGTTGATTATATGTCATTTAGGCTTAAGAATCTTTAAATTTAGAGAGATACTATAAGTCCTCCAGCTTGAACTAAGTTGGTACGATTTTTTCAATTGCCATTGTCGCTGATTTCTTGCTTTATTAGACTTTCTCTTTTGTGAAAATATTTATTGATCTGATAGCATAGAAAATTAAACACTCAAATATGGTGGTCAACTTTTTTTACTTATGCAAGTGCCAGGAAATTGGGAAGTGAATCCCAATATTTTGAAAAGTGTCTTTAATTAGTGGTTATTTGCATTGTATAAAAAATATTGGACTGCCTAAAAAACAAGCATATAAAAGCTTCTCATTAAGGGTAGAGTTGAAAGTTTATCTTAAATTTTTTTTTTTCAAACTTAAAAAGAGATCAGATCATTCTTTTTTAAATAGACTAAAAAAGAACAAAGGGAATAATATTTTTCAAAGTCAAGGAAAATCCAGCAAATCGTACCCACAACTTTATCATGGTTATGTTTGGGTCCACATGTACACATCCCTGTTTATGAAGTGGAAGCCACCCTACTAGACCCATAAGAGCGTGTTTGGTATGACTCCAGTTATTACTTAAAAATTATTTTCAATGAGAAAAAAAAATGTTTTGCGGGGAAATATTTTCATCAAGTGAGGGAAAATGACTTCCCTTGCTTTTGGACAAAAGTTATTTTTCTTACAATTCTCTTAAATCTTTTATATTCACCAACCAATTTCCAATCAAAATTTTTTTTCATCAAATCAAACACAAGCTTTCAAACGAAGAAAAGAAAAAAGATAAAAAAATAACACCATTAACTTCATAAAACCATTGAAGGGCTATATTGGTGGACTAGAAAGCTCAGCAAACTAAGGTTTAGTGCATCAAAAGCGTGAAACAAAGAAGTAAAGTTCTTCTGTCCGAAAGTAGGGATTTGAACGAATAGAAACAAGTTAGTGGTACTTGAAGAAAATGGCATCCTAGTTCTTTGATCAAACAACAAAGAAAACTTCATAATGTCCTGTCAATTATTAATTAAAAAGAAAAAACCTAAGATAAAGACTTCATAATGGAGCGTGTGTGGGTTCATGTACACCTCCCCACTTGATGAAATGAAAACTATATACTAGATTAATCATTTATTGTCCTTTCCTAACGAAGAAAAGAAAAGAGATAAAAATGAAATAGATAATAAATGGATAAATATATTTATCATTAACTTCATATAAAGTTGATGTTAGAAGACCTTTTTTCTATGTTGGATCTACTAGCCAAATAGAAAGGGGAAATTTGCAAGAAAGGGAATACTTTCATGCTGCTATTTAAATATTATTTTCAGTTTAGATATTTATATGTAACTGATCATGTTAAGTTTAATAATGATGAATTGTATAAATTAGACAAGTGAAGTATCTAAAAAGAAGCTATATACAACTTAGAAAGAATGTGATGGTGCAAATATATTTCGCGCCTTTAATCCACTTCAACCCAATGAAACTTGTTCAATGATTATCACTAGCTCTTTTTGGTCCCAAATCTATGAGGTTTAGGGCATAAAAAGTGTGAGATAATAAAGGAAAATTCTTCTACCCCGAAATAGGGATTAAGTGAATAGAAACAAGTCATTGGTACGTGAAAATAAAAGGGCACCGTGTGCAAGGAAGACTTTGTAGAAAGACTTGTTCGACGAAGACTATTTCATGAACAAGGAAAATTATTATATTATCTTGGTTTTAATTTATGTGATCATTTTTTCATTATAAGATGTATGGAAATAGTCCATTATATATTATATAGTTCTCTTTTTTACTCGATTAAACCCTTTTTTGGGCCGGATAAATTTATTTTCGTCGTTGATGTGACAGTCGTTTCACACACATTTGATACTTCAAATTTTTCTAACGCTATCATCTTCTTGTTGGAAACTTCAAAAGCATAGTTTTTGGACACTGGTAGAGTACCTTTTATAATATATTTTATCCAAAAATTGAGGCATTTATTTATGGCTTTAGCGCATCAGAANTGATGAAACTTATTCAATGATTATCGCTAGTTGTTTTGGTCCCAAATCTTTATGGTTTGAGACAATTAAGGAAAATTCTTCTACCCCAAAATAGGGGTTTAAGTGAATAGAAACAAATCATTGGTACGTGAAGAAAAGGGCACCATGGGCAAAGAAGACTTTGTAGAAAGACTTGTTCTACGAAGACTATTTAATGAACAAGGAAAATTACTAGTATATTATCTTGGTTTTAATTTATGTGATAACGTTTTTCATTATAAGATGTATGACAATAGACCATTATATGTCATATAGTTTTCTTTTTTACTTGATAAAACCCCTTTTTGGGTCAGAGGAATTTATTTTCGTCGTTGTGTGATGGTCGTTTCACACACATTTGATACTTCAAATTTTTCCAATGCTGTCATCTTCTTGGTGGAAACTTCAAAGGCATAGTTTTTGGACACTGATGGAGTACCTTTTATAATATATTTTATCCAAAAGTTGAGGAATGTTTATGGCTAATCTGATGGTTTGAAAATATTTTACGTTTTAATCTCTTTAGAGTTGAGAGATCATTATTTTTCATGGAATTAACTAAGAAATTACCTCCAAGTAAGGGTAATTTTATTTACTAAAAAAAGGTAATTTTTCCTCCAATTAAAGAATTTATAAAATGATCAGTACAAACTAAAAGGAGCTAAACAAAATGATCAATTAGGACGGTGTTATGGCCCCAAACAAGGACACTTATTTTACTCTGCAGAAGACTTGACTTAGCAAGAAATTAAGGTCCGTCAATTATAATCTTTTGTATAGTTTTTAAAAGGACAAATATACTTTAAAATCAACAAGTCCTCGAATTTTACGGTCAATATCTTTCTAGGCAATGTATTCTTCAACTACAGTTCTAAATGCTATATATATGTATGCCTGACCTAGTAACAATCTACAAGGAAACAGCTATTTAATACATACTTTTCACATCTAAACCTTTGCCCATCTTGAAGGTGTTAGCAATAACATTCTGTTTTTTCTTGTTTTACATTTTGACAAACACCAAGCTTAGTATTTGTACTGGCATTTGCAGAGAAAATGAGCAACAAGCGTTGGAGAATCTAAAGAAAGAAGTATTTGATCCCACAAATTTACCCCCCTCTTGGATTGTTGGAGAAGATTGTTGTGAAGGGGAAGGAGTTATGTGTCACAATCTGACTCGTCATGTGATTGAGCTACACATACGCAATGGTTTGTACGTGTACTTACCAAGATATGATCTAAGGATCAATAACTTTGATTGGCTGCCAAGTCTTTCAAATCTTGAGAACTTGGAGATGGTGGATGTGGATCTCAGCAATGTAACTAACTGGCTACAGGTCAGTACCATGCTTCCTTCTCTTGTTGATCTTAGTTTAGTTAATTGCAGTCCTCATCATATACCACCTCTACTTCTTCATAATTTTTCTTCACTTGAAACACTCAACCTTTCTTGTAACAACTTTAGTTCTTCTATTCACAAATGGATTTTCAATCTCCCTAGTCTTGTTTCTCTTGGTTTGAGTGTTAGTAATTTAATTGGCCCTTTTCCCGAAGGTCCTGTTAACTTTACTTCTCTCAGGAGCTTTAGGGCAGGTTTCAACCATTTCAATTGTTCTTTACCCAGATGGTTGGTTGATCTTAATAATCTTGAAACTCTTAAGCTTCGTTATAGTGGTATTGAAGGTGCGATGCCGCGTGAGGTCGGAAACGTAACAAAACTTAGAATTCTTGATCTTTCATACAACAACCTCAACTCCACTATCCCGAATTGGATCTATCGATGTCAAGATTTGGTATCACTTAGTCTTGGTGAAAGCAATATTGAGGGAGTAGTTTCAAATGCGATTTCAAATTTGAGCTCAATAATTGGCATTGAACTTTTTGGAAATATGCTTTCTGGAAAATTACCTGGAAAGTTATCGAAATTACAATGGCTTAATCTCTCAGGAAATCTATTCAAGGGAGAAGTATTTGAATTGTTCAACAGTAGTTCTTTTTTGTGGGTTTTGAAACTAAGAAACAATAGTCTGACTGGAACACTCCCAGAAAGTCTTGGCCAACTCCCAATGCTAGAAGAGTTTGACATCTCCAACAATAGGTTAGAAGGTGTTGTAACAGAAAGTCATTTTACCAAGTTGACACAATTGACGGATTTCTATGCATCTAACAATAATCTGACTTTAAAAGTGAGTTAGAAGTGGATTCCACCTTTTCAAGCCATAGATATTTGTATAGGCGGCTGGAATATAGGTCCTCAGTTTCCCATGTGGCTCCAGACTCAAAAAAATATAGATAATTTGGTCATATCAAATGGTGGAATACAAGGTGAGGTTCCAACTTGGTTTTGGAACTTATCTTACCAATTTCAGATGCTCAATCTTTCTCATAACCAATTTGTTGGTGAGGTTCCAACTATCTCAACACCTTATAATTGGTTAATGTTATTGGGTTCCAACAATTTCAGTGGTCCGCTACCTCTGGTTTCGCGCAATGTATTTGAGATAGACCTCTCAAACAATTCCTTTTCAGGAGGTTTATCTCACTTCTTGTGTGAAACAAATAAGAACTATAAATTTAAGTTCTTAAACCTTGAGGGAAATGATTTGTCAGGAGAAATTCCTGATTGTTGGATGAATTGGCGAAAGTTGATAGTTTTAAACTTGGGGGACATTAAGTTGATTGGAGACATACCAAAATCCATGGAGGTTTTAAGAAATTTGAAATCTTTGGACTTCCGAAGAAATAGACTTACTGGTCTATTACCTTGATCATTGGAAAAATGTACAAAGTTGCTGAAAATTGATTTAGCGGAGAACGAGTTCGTTAGACAACTACCACCATGGTTAGGAATGAAGTTTTCAGATTTTATAATCCTCAGCCTTAGCGCAAACAGATTCTATGGTGAATTGCCTCCAGAAATTTGTTACTTCAAAGATCTTCAGATCTTAGACCTTGCAAACAATAGTTTCTTTGGAACCATACCAAGGTGTATTAGCAATTTAACAGCAATAGTCTCTGGAAATAAGTTGGGGGAAGCTTATATTGAGTATTTTGATCATTATTATGATTCTAGTGAAGGAAATTTGGGAGAAAGAGCAATGGTGACAACTAAAGGCAATATTTACCAGTACGATAAAATATTGGCATCGGTTACAAGCATGGATATGTCTAACAATAATCTTTCTAGAGATATTCTCTTAAGTTTTACCAGTCTTGTAGGATTGAGATTCTGTAATTTCTCAAAAAACCATTTGACAGGTAGGATCCCAAATGGCATTGGCAACATGAAAGTTCTCAAATCCCTTGATCTTTCAGAAAATCAACTTTCCGGTCAAATCCCGCAAAGCTTATCGAGTTTGTCAACTTTGAGTTTCCTAAATCTGTTTTATAACAATTTGTCAAGAAAAATACTAGTGAGCACTCAATTTCAAAGCTTTAATTCCTCGAGTTTCCAGGGAAATGATCTTTGCGGGCCTCCACTCTTTGCGAACTGCAATTCAGGTGGTCAAATTCCCGATGTTGATACTGAAAAGGATGAGAGTGATTGTTGGATTTTGTTTAATAGCAAAAGAAGGGTGAATGGAAAATGGTGGGAAAGAAATGGAGGGAAGTGAAATTTTGAATGAGTTCACTAATGCACTTTGTCCCTCATTGGTAGAAAGAAAGAAAGTCTTGGTGTTTATATAGAGAAGCTCATCTTTTAGCTTTTAAAGAGCTAGTAAGAAGGCAAGCTTCGCGTCGTCGTCGTCGTCATCGCTCGGCTCGGGCTTCGGCTTCGGATTCGGAAAAGATTGATTGATTAATCTTTTTGGACAAAATTCTTTTCAAATATTTAATTAAATTAATTAAAGAAAATTCAATCCGAAATAACCAATGACCCGCGACCCAGTCCGGTCCGGCCCGCTTTTCTTTCCTGGATTCATTTTAAATTTCCCTGCAAAAATTTCCAACAGTCATGACTGTTCTGAAAGGTTGCAAATCTCTTCAGAGTGTCACACCTGTTCCAATAGCTATGACTGTTTTGAAAGGTTGCAAACCTCTTCAGAGTGTCACACTTGTTCCAACAGCCATGACTGTTCTGAAAGGTTGCAAACCTCTTCAGAAACATCACCAAGTTGGCTATAAATAGACCTTCAAATCCCAGAATATTTACTTACGAAATTTTCTGAATCTTCTTCTTCTTCTGCACAAAATATTCCAATGTGTTTTACGACCATTGAGTGGTTCGCCGATCACCAGAGTTTTAGGTACTGATACACTGGTGAGTTATATCGTTCTATCCTGGGAGGATATATTCCAAAATCTTGGGTACTTGAGGGAAATAATTTCCTTAAGGACACACTGTGTATTCAGTGGGCTCGATTTGTTCCTACAACATTTTTTCAGAATTTATTTTGAAGAAGTTTACTGTTTTCGGAATTTAATTTCTACTAACTTTCTGTTTCTATTTTCAGAAAGATTATTATTTAATATATTACAAAAATATAGATTCATAACAATCTTAAGGAAATTATCATTCAAATGACACCGTAAAGTATGGCTGTCGATCATGTTGAATCTAAGTGTGAAACGGTGCATGGAAGAGATAATCAAGTCACGTTTGGCTTGAGTTGTTATATGAATTAATTATTCTAAAGAATAATTATAATACCAAAGACTAGTGATGTGAACTTGTGAAGCCAATGGGTTCAAACAGATTGGAAGGAATCTGGGCGCTGATATCATTAAAAGTGGATCAAAGTTTCTTATTTAATTCCACAACCCACTGGTTCAAAAGAAAGGGTACATATATGAATATTGAACATTGTGAACGTGGCTTCAATATTGTGTATTCACTGGTTGGAATGCAAAAATGATGCAGCGGTTGCGTTATTTAACTCGCACATCATCATACAATTTGCATCATTCTGGTAAACCGAAAGTGACAACAGAAATCGGGTATATATTTGCATGATGTGATAATTTGGAATAACATAAAAGAATTACTTTGTTATTCAGTTTACCAAATATAATCGATTGATTGGTATACTATTTGGCGGTATGCATGAAATATGTGGAAAAATATTTTCAAGGTATGTAAGATGTGAATTAAACTTACAGTAATACTTGAAGTATCTTGACATCATAAATATACTATATATTAAGATGAACATATATGTGTTTGATTAGAGAAAGAGATCAAACTGTTTAAAGTTTTATAATGGTTTAGTTGGAAAACCATTTGGAAAGGGAATTGAAATTCTCGTGATTTTCTAAACACACTATGGAGAATAAAATCTTCGTGATTTTATACTCCTGCTTCGAGATCAAAATCTGCGTGATTTTTTACTCGTTCGTTGAGATTAAAGTCTTCATGACATTCTACTCATTTGTCGGAAATTAAAGTCTAAGTGACTTTATACTCGTTTTGGAGATTAAAATCTTAGTGATTTTCTACTCCAATTTATTATTCGGGTTGAAGATTAAAAACTTCACCGTTTATTAAATTTGATTGTGTCACATATACTCGGTTTGAAGATTAAAAAACTTCACCGACTATTTAGATCTGCTTGTATCAGATATCATTCGGTTTGAAGATTAAAAACTTCACCGTTTATTAATTCTGATTGTGTCAGATTGGTTTGAAGATTAAAAACTTCACCATTTATTCTGGCTTTGTCGTGACATAAACAATTGTTCTTGTGGTTGACTCAACAATGTAATAGGGGCATCGAGCGTGAATCTCCTTTTGAAGAAATATGCTGGAATGTGATATTATTTATCAAACGACAGCCCCTTAGTCACCGCAATCTAATGGAATTGGAAAGAAAGAGTAGAACATTAAAGTACATGATGAATGTCTTGTTGATAAGTTATGGTTTAACCCAGAACTTGTGGGGGGAAAGTTATTCTTACAACTAACCGAATACTCAGTCGAGTTTCCCATAGCAAGACGCAATCCATTCCATATGAAAAATGGAATGGAAGGAAGCCCAACTTAAATATTTTAAAGTGTGGGGGTTGTTTCGCTAAAGTGCGAGTTCCTAATCCCAAAAGGGTAAAAATTGGACCGAAAACCATTGATCGCGTTTTCATAAGATATGCAACAAATAGTAAGGCATATCATTTTCTAATTTAAAAATCAGAAAATCCCGACATTCATATTCATACGGTAATCGAATCAGATAATGCTGAATTCTCTAAGAATATTTATCTGTATAAAAAGGAATGTGAGTCGTCTAGTAAAATATCTAAGCAAACTCGGGAAGAAGCAAAGGAAAGTACGTTGAATTAGAAAAATTCAAGACGTAGTAAACGTCAAAGGATAACTACTTTCTTTGTACCAGATTTTCTGACATTCTTGTTAGAAAGTGAGCCTCAAACATTTAAAGAAGCAATGTTAGAAAGCGGTAGTCAATAGTGACATAGAATCCATATTAAGTAATCATACTTGGGAATTTGTTGATCTTCCTCCAGGAAATAAACCTTTGCGTTCTATGTGGATTTTCATAAAGAAAATGAAAGCTGATAGTACTATTGACAAATATAAGGTAAGATTAGTTGTCAAATGATTTAGACAACGAGAAGATCTTGATTGTTTTGATACATACTCGCCGGTAACAAGGATTACATCTACTCGGGTGTTAATAGTGTTAGCCGCGGTGTATGGCCTTGAAATCTATCAGATGAACTTAAAGACAACCTTCTTAAATGGAGATTTGGAGGAAGAAATTTATATGGAACAACCTGAAGGGTTTGTGGTTCCTGGAAAGGAAAAGAAGGTGTGTCGACTTGTTACGTCACTTTACAAGCACCCAAAGACATATTTAATATTGTCAAATGGTTTCAAAAATTACTGAGTGTAAACAAATGTGTTTACGTTAAGAATACTTCAAATCATGTAGTCAGTATTTGATTATATGTAGATGATATGTTGATGAAATATTTAAAATGTGGGGGGCTTTTAGCTTATGTATGACAAAAGCCAATGTTAGACGTAATGTCTAAATGATATAATTTTTGAACTCCATTGATATGGTAGTTGGTATATTCATCAGTTGTTTAGTCTTAAATAAAGACTAGTTGATGAAACTACTAATTCGGAAGTTGGTCACGTGCCTTTCTCGAAAGATCATTTTCTTTATTGAAAATTTATATTGTTTAGTTCCTTTATGAAATGATATCACTTTGAAGGTTGTGATTTTTCATAGAAAGATACATATGTACGTTTTTGTATGGACATGACCGTTCATGAACGAATGTATTAATACGTTGGCCTATAATGAGGTGAACCAACCGATAAACATGACCAAAATCCATTGCAAGTTGGATTTGTTTCATGAATGGAGGTGCTATAATTTGCATATCATATAGGCATATGAATAAATAGCATACAAATGCTTGAAAATGACGAAGTGATTGATAAATGTATGATATATTAAAAGGTTGTGGCCACAACTGATGTCAATCATTCCAGCTGTTATTATAATATATTATTGTTACATTAAGTGTAGTCAATAATTTGATATGCAATAGAATGTCGAGACGTATTAGTCTACGACATAATGAAGTTCGCATTGAACTGTCGGGAAAATAAAATGAATTTTGGAATATTTAAAATATATCCATGATTATGCTTTGCACTATAATAAGTATCCCGCGATAATGGAGGGGTATAGTGATGCAAATTAGATCACCGGTTCAACCGATTCTAAACAGTCGGTGAAGGAGCAATGTCTTGGAAATCATCCAAACAAATGTACATTGACTTCTCTACAGTGGAGGCTGAGTTTATAGCCTTAGACAAGGTCGGTGAAGAAACTGAATGGCTCTGGAATTTCTTGGAAGATATTGTATTTTGGCACAAACCTTTGGCACCTATTTGTATACATTGTGACAGTCAAGCGGCAATATGTAGGGCAGGGAGCGTTATGTATAACGAAAAATCTCGTCATATTCGACGGAGACACAATACCGTTAGACAACTACTCTCTAGTGGTGTTATCACAATTGACTATGTAAAGTCAAGAGATAACGTGTCAGATCCACTTACAAAAGGCCTATCCAGAGAGGCAGTTGAAAGATCAAGGGAATGGGGTTAAAGGCCTAGGACAAGTCATCATGGCAGTAACTCTACCTAGCAGACTGGAGATCCCAAGAGCTAGATTCAAAGATCTCAAACAAAGTTATGAATGACGGTTCAACATTGTCAACTAACTCAACCCATTCTCGTGATGAAGACAATGTTCAAAAACGAGGTAAAGCATTAAGGCTTTTTGATGAGTCAATAAAGCTTAAAACTTTTAATGATTTGCTAAGTCTGGCAGGATATGACCAGATAGTGTGTCTTTAGGATTATACGTTTAGGAATCACCTATGTGAGTGTGAAGTGTAAGCCGCTTCAAGGAGAATGAAAGTAAAGGCCCATTCTCTAAGCACTCATGAAACCAGGCGGTGTTCATGGCTGAAACGAACACAACCGTGAGAACCATAGATGGTTAAGGATTGATTGTATGACTTATGTTGTCTAGGTATACAACAAAGCTCGACGGTTCAAAGATATCAAATCTACCGATTGACCGAGTATATCCGATATAAGTTCACTACGGAAAGTTCAAAGGGAAACCTACTTATCCAGAGGCAATCAATTCTTGCTTGTAAAATACACACACATCCGTGCATTCCTTTAAGTTTATAGTCATTCCCCGTTCATGTGGGGGATTGTTGGATTTTGTTTAATAACAAAAGAAGTGTGAATGGAAAATGGTGGGAAAGAAATGGAGGGAAGTGAAATTTTGAATGAGTTCACTAATGCACTTTGTCCCTCATCGGTAGAAAGAAATAAAGTCTTGGTGTTTATATAGAGAAGCTCATCTTTTAGCTCTTAAAGAGCTAGTAAGAAGTCAAGCCTCGCGCCGTCGTCGTCGCTCGCTCTGCTCGGCTTCGGATTCGGATTCGGATTTGTCAAAGATCGATTGATTGATTAATCTTTTTGGACAAAATTCTTTTCAAATATTTAATTAAATTAATTAAAGAAAATTCAATCCGAAATAACCAATGACCCGCGACCCAGTCCGGTCCGGCCCGGTTTTCTTTCCTGGATTAATTTAAATTCGTTTTAAATTTCCCGCAAAAATTTCCAACAGTCAT